TTTCATACAGATTTTGGTACAATATTTTTCTTACTATGGAATATGTTATAATTTTCTTATTTGGTTGCCTTTGATTAATTGTAGGGCCATGATAATGAAATGGYAAACAATGCAGTTTTCGCCATGTTCAAGACACTGACAGAAAAAGTAGACAACATGGAGACCAACCTTGGTACCAAGTTGTTATCGGGAATGGATGCAGCAATTGATACAAAGGTTAAAGCTCTAYTTACTCCCTTCACTGAGAAACTTAATACATTAGAGAAGGAGATAGAAAAGCTGCGACAAAAGAATGTACCTGCAGATCCAAAAGAAGTTGCCAATTCCAATGCTAATACTAATGAAGAAGTCACAAGTAAAGATATGGTATGTTAGCTTTACTATCTTACTCTTCGTGTGTGTAGTTTATTAATTTGTTTGGAACTTATAATTTAGGAGAAGCTAYTTTTTAAATCACATTTTTGTTCTATAAAACTGTTTTGTTATGCGTATTAAAACTGTTTTTTTTTTTGCAGTCTTGGATGGTTCAGATGAAAACCACATCCCAGAATGATTTACCAATTTGTGTTGTCAAAACTCTGAAGAAGGCAGGCAAGAAAAAAGCTGACGAGAAAAAGGTTGTTAAAACTGAAATACAAGTGCCACATCTTCTTGATTTATCTTCAGGRGAAACATATACAGATCCACTACAATATGACATTTTCAAAGGAGTTACTGGAAATTTAGATGCAATCGTAGCAAAGGTTACCAAATCRACTAATCCTACACCGCTGCCTAAGCGACAAACAAAGGTGGCACCGACTCAGCTCTTTCCGTTTGTTGGAAATTCTACAGTGAAGCGCATCATCACAGGTGTAACTCCATCCGTCACCGCATATGACCCGTTTGYTGATGTGGACAATAGTAAAATTCAGAATATACTTCATTTCCAACTGGATACTGAGTACGTCACTCTTCTTTACTTACTTATGTCACTATCAGGTGTATATCGCCACTAATGTGTATTTATTTAACATTTTTTTAGGGAGRAGCCTGATGGAACCAACGAGTCTAGTGTTGAATTCTACAACATTATTACAACTCCGAGAGATTCATGGTCTACWGATACATATGGGTGGTTGACTAGTTCGGTAAGTACCAYTACAACTCCTAGAGATGCATGGTCTACTTTATAGAATGTACTATTTGCTAATTCTTTAATTGTTTGGTTGTTGCAGCATATGTGGTGTGCAATGCATATTTTTCATCAGCRATCTCTACGTGAGCCATCTCYGTATCACTCTCAGCGGATTGTGTTTTTGGACCARTGGTTTGTCAACAAGCTGGTGCGTGATTACAAAGAATTCAACGCAAAAACATGGACAGCGACAGATGACTATAAGGGTGCAT